TATATATAAATAATAGCCATTTTGATTAAAACACACTTCTCGCAAAATAACTCCCTTGTTCCTCGTTTGTTTACTTTTTAAATAAGGCAATGAATGGGGAATATCAGGTTTACTTTGCATGGCTTTCCTATTCTTCCATCAATTTGACACATTTAACTTTGTAAGTGGAGCGTTTCGCTACAGAAAAAAAGACAGCCAACATGCACGGACAGCGCCAGCTGACGCACATCACCGGTTTGTCAACAAAGGCAGCAGCAAGGCGCGCTTGCTTTGGCTGCCGGGGTTAGGTCGACCCACGTGACCGCCACAACGTGGAAACTCCAAATAAGGAGGCGTCCGGTCACGCCCCTCCCTGCCTCCCTCTGCCCTATATGGACAAGTTCCGGGTTAAGTTGTAGTGGAAAAGTGATCTCAAGCCGCAGACAAAATGACTGTAGACAAAACGTCACGGCGCCGATTTTGCCAAGCAAAGTTGTGGGAAGGAAACAAGAGTTAAAAATATCGCAACAACTTCTCTTTTTACCACACTGTATATACTTTATAAACAGTACATGTCAACGTAAGGGCAAAACTGTACATGATGCATTTTATTTTTGACTGGGGACAAAAAAAGCTTTGCATAGAAAAAAATACCCACCACAAGAATGAAAAGGAAAAGTGAATATTCAGACCCAAGAAATTAATAATAGCTTCTGAATGAAGCACGAGTGTGTAAAAAGAGTGTAGGTTGGTCTGAATCATGCTCTGTGTTTTGGGGGCTTACACACACTGTTGTAGTGCCGCGTGTGCTGATTACCAGTTAGGCCAGTGTGTGGAGTATCCTTCTCCCTGTCGCAGGCTGGCCACTCAAAACAGCAAAATAAGCGATGCTATTAAATTCAGTTATGCGGTTATCGGCGTCTAATAATATTGATAGAATTAAACATACCGTAGGTGGATGTTATAGTGCGAATCTGTCACAAAAACATAACCATACAAACTCTTATGCAACGCTAGTGTGCAGTAAATCCCAGATTTCCTTAAATAGCAGCAAGGTGGATTGGAGGAGGCCTTTGTGCGTACGCTATAACACATAAGCAGTCGAGCTAGCGAGCGAATGACTTTATAACAATGAAAATAAGGCTGGCTTAAAATACCATCAACAGCACTACTCTTTACAACCATTCTCTACGCAATCTGACTTTGCGCTGAAAATATGCCGTGTCTACTTAACTTCTATCAGATCATCTATAACACCAGGTAGAGAACTGATTGACAACATCCATTCATCTGAGTGCGTTTACTGGCTCTGGCAGGGGGTGTCGATTTAGTTAGCAGCCGAGTTCATGTCAGCTCAGCATCTGTGATTGACAGTGTGTGTGTGTGTGTGTGTGTGTGTATTTGTTTTTCTCTTGCCCTTGAGAGGAAGTATCTATTCGAGGAAAGGTGTTTCTGCTCAAGTGGCCCCCGCTTAGAGTAGGAGACACCATTTGAGGAAACCTGATAAAAGAGCGCTGCGGTGTTTATCAATGCAAACGAATGAAACAGAGCCCTTTGTCCATGATAAACATCCAGTGAGGCCCATATCGTCATCATCCATCAGGAGAGATGCGCGGCCGAGTAATTGCTTGCTTGGAAAGTTGGCCGGCTCAGATGGTCCACCTGACCTGTACCTGTTCCTGTTCGAGAGACGATTTCCAACACAGCGTCACGTGGGATGCGGGTCCACTGCCGTGTTTGACGGCACCGTCCTGGCTCATTTGCACAAAGGGATTCCATGGAAGTAATCACCCTCTACAGCTCATGGAAAACCCAGGGCTACATAGTCAAATCACCTTTTCTTTTTCCAAGCCTCAGAACGGAGGCTCAAGCTGTTCCTTGCTACCCGTGGAAGATCACTAATGCTACAATATCATTTTTATTTAATCTCAATTAAAAAAAAAAAAGCCTTTCGTGGTTTTTCAACCCCAAAAATAAAATTGATGGTTGAAACAATTCATTTTTGTTACTGTCAGATTATTATTAGTGTATTTACAGAAACAGTGGGCGGGAATGTTTATTTACTCCACTATAGATGGAGGACAGTGTTTATTAGGCCTGTTAAGGGGATGCAGGGAGTTGGAGGCTACCCCAGCTGACTTTGGGCAAAAGGCAGGCTATACCCTGGAGTTGACGCCATCATATCCTATCGAGTGACAACCATTCAAACTCGCATTCACGCATTGAGTGAGCGGGAACTCAAGTCGGGTGCATCAACCAATTCATCCTGAACGATTATTAGAATTTAAATGGAAATGGGATTTGAAGCTAATTAAAATGAAACATTTAGAGAAATGTCGAAAACAGAAGTTGACTCAACAGAACAAATTGAATCCTGGTTGTCTCCAAATTGACAGGGCGCATCCTCGGGAGGTCGCGTTTCCGGCCGCATGACATCACTTCCGGTGCGACTCGACCGCAGGTGGTGTCCAAATTGACATGAAGCCTCGCCTTATGTGCTGTGTTGTATTATTTTGTCATTTTATGTGAACTGTTCTTTTGATGGTAGCGCGGGCACCCGCAGCGGCTCCTCTCTGTCCTATGGTTGAGAGGAATGACATTTCATATGTGCTGTATGTTGCACACGTAGCACATTTGACAATAAAGTTGACTTGAACTTGAACAAATTCGCCACGGTTTATGCAGTCGCCGGAGGCTACAGGCTTTGAAGGCGTCGAAGGATCCAGCCTGCGAATCTTCTTTCTCGAATTTGGAAATTACGCGCGGTCGAGTCGCGCGAGAAGTGACGTCATGCGGCCTTCAGAGGACGCGGTCTGTGAATTAGGACGCAACCGCAAACAACATTTTGCTCTGTCAAACATTCACTCTTTAGTTTTCATGTGCGAACAAAAGCGTTGATTACAGAAAATACCTCTGGGTGGGTGGGGGAGGGGTGTGTGGGGGGAATCCCTGATGAGAAATTATATCTAGTTGAGGGACAAATTTACGTTTCTGTGGATGTTGACTAATCAGGGCAAGGAGTCACTCTTTGAGGAAATGTGGGCCCAAAAATGTGTTTCACTCTTCACCGCTGGTTGTATTTCATATTATGGGGAGTCTTGGTGTCACAAACACAGCCAGGGGAGACACCTTAACGCAACAACAAGTCAAAGCCGGCATTGCATTATTCAGTGTTGAATGTTGATTAAAGCAAACAAGCGGTAGTGTGAATGAATTTACCTTGAGGACAACATTAAAATCCCACGGCACAAGCAACATAGGTCACTGCGCAGTGAGACAATAGCGTCACAATAAAGCGTGTTGATATTGCATTTCCGTTCCTAATCCTCCAGTGAAATCAACCAGCACTCTTAAATGGTGAGAAAGAAAAAGTCATTGCGCTTTATTAGATCACTTTTGTCTCGGTTAGGCAACAGAGTTGATTAAACAAATTCATTTTAATTAATGTCAGTTGGAATACATTAGGAACATATTCAAAACATTGGCAATATTCTCAAGGGTGGCGCTTGTTGGCAAACGACAGCTGTCAGTCTGTCAACACCGCTGACATTTGGGAAAAAAACACGCTGGAGGAAGTTGGGTGACAAATCCAGTTGTTTCTGGCAGCGCGGCGCCGAGATATGAATGGAAGCAAAGCGGCGTTTTTGTTTTTAAAGTCAAAATCTTGGCAATGCACCGGATTGCTAATGCAGTCCAAGTAGGTGTTTTTTGTTGTTTTTTTTTAGGGGGGGGGGGAGAAGTTCTCTTCCACCTGGCATGTTACACAATGAGTGTGGGATTATAGTCGACTTGCCGATTGTGAAAATGTTTGACAGGTAAAAATCAAGGTGGAGAGTGACGATGTTCCACCTGATGGATACTAAACAGTTGTTGTGGATGTTTGTGGAGCTTTGACTGCCAAGTCCAGGAAGCAAACAAAGCGGACACGGAACAAAATTGATCAATGATCTCTGAGGGTTCATCAGAAGGGCACACAGGAGTTTACCGAGGCTGGCTTATCCACCAAAGGAACATTACCTACGCCCGCCCGGACCACTGCGGAGACACCGAACCGAGGTCAATCAAAGGCCCAACCGAAGATTGATCATCACAACATCAAAGTCGGTGATGGAAATCCAGACATCTGGGGTATTGATACGAGAACCATCCCAGAGGAGTGGTTAGAAACCAATACTCCTCCCGATTACGCTGAGCCACCCTGCTACAAAGCAGCACGGAGTCGGAAAAGTATCCGCAAGTGGAAGGCTTATAAAGTTGACCTGCCAGGTGGATCTTTTGCCGCGACTCTCCAAAGTTCAAAATGGGATCGTCACGTCAAAGTCAAGGACGCGCTGAGATAGAGGGGCTTTTACCTCAGGAAATCAATCAAAAGGTTTCATCGGCAAGTTACTCTATTTCCAATTGAAAGCGGGCCGGGTGGAAATATGTAAACAAATGCATGGTAAGTCCCCTTCACCAAATAAACTAGAGTCCGCAAAGCCCCTGCCCCCTCCCTGCCACCCTGTCACTTTTAGTTCCACTGCAACATCCGGTTGTGCTGCGGTCTCGGTTTCACCTTCTACTTCCTTTTTTTCTTTTTTGTTTTTTTTGGGGGGCCGTGACGTGTTTCCGCCCCTGATTTAGAAGCAACTCTTTCCACGCCGGCTTGTGATATCACGGGCCCTTTTCCTTTTCTTGTCGGGCGGCGTTCGGAAACTAATAAGAAATCCCCATTGAGGCCGAAGCTTATTCCCCAAATCTCGCACGACGGGATCATGTGATCATCAAAAGCCACCAAGAGGGGAAAACAAAAAGAGGAAGCGGGATTGCAATGCGACGAGAAAGATAAACAGACTCATACTACTCATAAGCTTGAAAGTGATTCCAATTCCTGTTGACTGCGCATCACCACAGGTCAAGGACACCTTTGAGGGGATCTTCAGTCTTCGTAGTTTTGTGTGAGAAACTGCAGCTTAGCCACAGGCTCTCCCAGATGAAACATTAATACGAAGGCGTCCAGATTCCATTTACCTGACAGAGAGAGACACAAAGAAACATTTTGTTTTTGTTTTTGACTGAACATCTCCGGCGACATGATTTCAGCTTGGAGTGGCTCCACCCAAAACATTCCGGAAAAAGTAGGGCCATAGGACACTATCAAAATTGATGACATCAGCCCACCGGCCGAGCCCTGTGGCACACCATTCTCGTCCTCATTTCAACCAGCATTAAAGAACTTTTATTTGGCTTTTTCTTGAGTCTTATGATTTTTTTTTAAAACGGGAAATTAGCATGAAGTAGAACTCCAGCAATAAAAACTCCCGTGGTGTCCAACTGACCCCTTCAGCCCCCGGCAGCATAACTGTGCGTTTAAGTGACTGAGCAGAAGTATTGCTGTGGGTGATGTTAAGCGCTTTTGTAGGTTTTCAATTTCGTGTTTCAGTGATGGTGCTGCCTTCACTCCACCTGTTTTTGTCCATCTTAGGGGATGGCCATTTTGTGACTCACCGTCGACCGAAAATGACATTATAGTCGCTCGGGTAGCGACCAATCACGGGTCCCCCGATTTCCGGGTTTGGTCATGTGACGTTCGCAAGCTGAGCCCTTTGGCACGGGTGTGCTTTTCAGTCGACGGCAAGTCTTTGAATGGGATGAAAATGTTAGCATATTAGCTCCAAAATGCCCATTCTGTTAAAAGTTTTGATGGTGAGCTTTAACGTCGAAAGAATTCGTTTCAATGGGAAAAAAAATGTTTTGAAAGACGACCAAATGGGGTCAACCGGCGTCGCAGAACGGATTGCGGTCAGGCACCAAGGCACCAATGTTCCACAAACATTCACTAGGACGGTAACACAGCGCTCCGTCTACGCTGAAGGCACCCAAGGCCTAAGTGAGCCGTGAGTCACAGAGAACAGCACTGCTGAAAATAAAACATGTTGCTGTAATGATGGAGGTGGGAACGCAAGGACGCATTGGCAAGATGATATGATTCAGTCGCCTGCACTTTTTTTTTTTTTCTTTTCCCCTTTCCCTCTCTCCTTTTAAACAAACACCAGACGGCCATCCGGCTGGTATGACAATATCACGGCTTAAGATTTTGGACAACCTAAATTGCCAACAGTTTCTCTTTTCCTGTACAGGGGGAAAAAAAAGTGCCATTTTGTGGCAGTCAACCCTACAAATGTACACACACAACACAGAGAGTATTAAATAACCTATACGGGTGCATATTCTGCTGTACAGTAAATCGCTGACATTCCTCTAGTTCCATTTGGAGCCACAAAAAAAAAAAAAAAAACAGCTGGACAGCATTGGAAAAGAATCTGATACAAAGTGAGCCAACGATTGAAGTGGTCCAAATCTGTAGAGAGAGAACACTTTCACAGTTCAGTCGGACTCTGCCTCGGATACAAAACATTACTGTGGCCAGCCTCTTTGTTGCCTGCGCCGTTTGCGGCTGTTTTCACCATCAGGGAGACACGGTCCACATCCGCCGGCATCACAAAAAGGACATCTGGGAAAGATTCCCCGCACAGCCATCCATTCAGATTTCAGGCACCTTTAAGCCATGGCTTTTTTTTTTTAAGTATCGTCCAATAAAGGCAATCATCATTGACCGTATTTGGATGCTATTTGTTTTCGCTAGTGCGCTGTTGAATGATTTCACACAGAGACTCGGCAAATAAGAGAGCAGTCAGTGCCGTTGATACCGACAGAGACGCAGGTAAGAGAGGAGGGGGAAATGACAGCTGTATCAAAACTTTGGATGTCCAAACATGGCCCATCTCACTAACCCATTTGAAGTGTTTAAAAAAAAAAGCTTGAGAACAAAACTATTGACGCTCTCGAATGCTCAGCTGGATGAAAATTGTTGTAAAACTCCGCCTCTTTTCTCACTTTGCAGTTACCTGGGCGACGTCATACCAAGAGTGAAAAAGTCTTGATTTTTTTTTTTTTTTTTTTTGTGGGAGACGATAACGAGTCAAAGATAGGTTACGGCCATTTGAGCAGGCTCGTTTTGTTCAAATTGGATCGCAGTCATGGCTCGATGTAGAAGGAGCGGGTTAGGCACAAAGGCAAGGGTGTGCAGATTCATTTCTGCCTATGAAACTGCTTAGTCATCTCGTAGTTTTTTGCTTTTTTTTTTTGGGTCCTTCATGATTCTAAAGACTTTAAAATCGAGTTTGGAAAGATGATGTAACCGGAGTTGTTTGCTCTTCTGAAGGTTCGTGAACTTTCTGTCCGTTTAGGTGGTTGGTGCGAGCGCCGTCTAGGGGGGATATTTAGCATTTGTGAAGCAACTCCGACCATTTTAATCAATGGTAGTGCAATAAAATAGCCATTTTCTAGCATATTAAAGAAGAGATTGATAATTATATTGTGGTGGTGGTGATGGTGAGCAACGGTAAATGCTGTGGAAAACGAACGGACGGATGAATCGACTGGATGGTAAGAAAACAAAAACGGCTGCTCTGTGCGAGTAAGACGATCTGACAGAAAGAGCTCCGATCGTCATGCGAGGGCAACGGAGCCCAGTGACCTCCCCGAAAGACTGCGCACGGTCTGTAACGCCCGCGTCCGTTGGAGATAGCGCACCACCCCCGCAGATGCCTAAATTCCCTTTGCAGGTGTGGAACAAGGTCCCTTCGCTCTCAGAAGACAAAATCGGACGGGCACCGAGCGTGCTCTGACTAGGAGGACATAGTTGACGAGTCAAGTGGCAGATTTGACTCCATTGACGCGCACAAACACTTTGAGGTGCGTTGACACTGATGCAGGACGTCGGCGAAGGCTGCCGGAGGATGACAAAGACTCTCCTGCTGCAAGCGCGGCTCTCCATCCAAACTTTTAGTATCTTGCGCTATCACCGGCTGGTTCCGAGCGATCTTAAAATAGGCTCCCTGTGTGTTTGGGAGTGCGGCGAGCATGTTTCCACCGCTCCCATCTAAGCGCTCATGGAAAGGACAGATAGGGGTGGGGTGGGGTGGGAGGGGGGCATCCTGAAGGTGATGTGCATGTCTTCCTGCCTCCTCTTTTGTCTCTGTCATGATTCGGTGTGATGGCGAACCCTGAGATTGTGCAGGTGTACCAAATGTTTCAAGTGATTGTTCTCAAAGGGATTTTTTTGGGGGGTGCGGGGAGTTAATTTATGGCTAATTTTAGCCATCGAATGCAAATGACACACATGGTAGACAAGGGTGAGACATCAGGGTCACCTGACCACAGTCAGATGTCATCTGTCAAGCCGCAAGAAAAGGGAAGAAACTGGGGCTTGTTTTTTTTTTTTTTTTTTGGGTTGGTTTTTGAGACTCAAATCATTTCACAGTTATTATTCTGTCCGTTCCTTTTCATCCGATTGGGGGCATAAGAATCAATAGATTGATTGTGCAAAAGTAGTTGTTGAACCAAGTCTTGAACTCTGGCAAAATAGAGTGCAGTACTTGGGCGCAACCAGCAGAGGCGCTGTACATTCTCAACGAGTCTGCAATGGCAACTCCACTCAGGATCGGGATTCTGTGGTATACCATTGGCATTAAAAGGGGAAGGCTCCGAACATTCACAAAGAAGGAGATTCTCGCATTCCTATAAATATGAGGACCGAAACAATTCATTGTTGCACCGAGCGAACACAATTGTTGCGTTTGGCGTGTCAGCTGTTCTTGACTAATTTTGGGGTGCAAAATTCACAACTGATCTCAGTCAGGTTTTTCAGCTGTAGGGTCCCCGTTTTTGAAAAAAAAAACAAAAAAACAAACAAAAAAAAAACATTCAAAAATAAGTGTTTTTTTTTTTTTTTTTTAACCAAACTGACTGCAATTTTGGAATCAGCACGTAAATTTTAATTTGAATCGGCATAAAAATCTAACGCAAATAAAAAAATTTCTACCCCCCCGTGTTATTTTTTTCTCCATAGTTAAATCACATGTCAAACAGAGGAACTGTTCAATGAAATTAAGTTGGTTATTTGGAGTGGCGAATATTACATAGGGAAGCTAAAGGAGCAAAATTTGGACCTGACAAATATCCAGTATATATTATGAAAAAAAAAAAAAAAAAAAAACTAGAAGCCAAAACGTCAAAGTGTTCTTTGCTGCACAAGCCAAAATTCCTGGCTGTGCGACCGCACGGCGCTCTGATTAATGGTCGAGGCTGTGGGTGGGTGGTAGACATGGATCTGCCCATTACCACACTGCAACATTGCAAATGGCTTCAATTACTGTGGAGTGTGCTGAGCTGGCAGTGTGGGCTTGAGAAGGCAAGATGAGCAACACCACACAAGCCGCGGCACTGTGATGCACTCATTCACGCCGTGTGATCATCAGGTTCATATTTTGTGAACAAGGAATTGTGAATCTTGTCATTTTGAAACCTTCGCTTTCAGCCAACGATGCCGATGTCGAGTTCCTGAAAGACGCCTGTGGCACGGCGTGTTGAGCAGCTTGCCAAAGTGGCTAGCAAGCATCACGAGGGCCGTGGAGCCCAATGGCCGCCCCCCACCCTGGCACGGGGGATTCCCTATGATCTCTTCTTGATGCCAAGAGCGCACCCCCACCCCGACCACCCCATCCGCCCCCCTGCGGTGTCTTGTGCGACAAGGCCAACTGTCTCCGTCAGGTCACTGACCCACATTTACAACTTGAACACAGGAGACGCAGGCGACTCCCACCATTCCTCACAGCGGCGACGGCGCCCCCCCCCCCTGTATTAACTAAAGACGTGGCCCCAGATGAAAGAAAAAATAAATAAATAAAGGGACAACATATTTGCAATCAAATTGAGTCAGTGACTGCGTGGCTGGAAGTGGAAAATGATCATTAGGAGTCTCCCACCCACGACTAAATGCTCTCCCATTGTAAATCACATCAATTAATGTCACGGGCTTGACAAATGCGCTCTGTGTCACAGCACATGGGAGGGAGGACAGACGCTAATAAGTGAACATACTTAACGGAGGAGGTGGGGAGACATGGGATTCCCTCCGCTTGTGCGTGTGCGCGCACGCGTGCGGGGGGGATAACCTTGTCAAAGCCAAGTGGAGGCCAGTCCAATTGTGGCAGGTGCACGACTGAAGCGAGACAAAAATCCTCCAAGTACAAACGCGTGGCAGCAGACAACTCGGGATGGGCATAATCATCTATTCGATTACAGGAGGTCCTCTGTTGACGACATTCGTGGGTTTCGAGGTTTACAAACAGCGTCCAATGAACTAGTGAGTGGAATAAGATCTGCCAAAACAGGTCATCAAATCATCCCCCAAAAATATTTGGATGGATTCACCATTTCTTGAAGTGAACGTCCAAATGCTCCAATCTCGGTTTCACAACAGGAAATATTTGGATTTCTGTGGCCCTAAATGGACGCAGAGCGATTATCTTTTGGGTTCAATCAAAATGAGACCGCCCAAAAGAAGCTTATTCAGGCATTTGAGCAAATCTTGACAAACAACGGGGGAAGATGACAAATCATTTGTTTGTTTGAAATGGATCAGACACCTCGAAACATTCTGAACTCCTGCATATGGGCCAATGTTGTAAGGAGCAGAATAAGGCCACCGGGATGAGTCGTGCCATAGCGTTGATGGAACTCAAGTTCCCGTCGCTAAAACTTGCGCACCATTTTGCAGCAAAAAAAAAAAAATCATCCTGATAAAATGGATTGTTTTTTAAAACTATTATGTCCATCCCAAGTTAATTCTGTTAAATTTTGACGTCATATCATTGCACGTTCGAAAAAAAAAAAGAAAAAAAAAGTGACAATTATCCCTTCAACAAGTGGCACAAACAAAATGCTTCATTATGCATGAATGAAACTTGTAACTTGATTTCTTTTTAACGGTAAAAAGATTTTGCTAAGGAGAGGAAATAATCCAAGTCAATTAGAGCAATCCAGAGTAAATATGGGTGGGTCCAGTAGCTTCATTATGAGAAAAATGGGGTTGGGGGAATGGGAGGGGCAGGGGGGGTGGAGCCGATGGCAGAAAATGTCTTCTTCTGCTTGCACAAAAGTCATAAAATATTGTAAACAGCAGGCTGTTATTCATGTTACGATTTCTCTGTATTAACCATGTTTGACATGACGAATACTCCGCCAATCCTTTGAGCTTCTGCGCAACTCCAAACCCATCACATCAAACAGGGTGCCTGCATTGATTAGTGACGTAGGTGTCAAAGCTCCAAAAACAGTGGCAACTGCACTCCTTCATGACTCAAACCGCCCTCAACTGCACCTCAAATTCTCAGCCGGGACTCGACGAGAAGAGACAGCCAGACACGCCTCCCCGGCGCGGGCTCTGTGCATCCCGCCCGCATGTTCCCACCTTTTCAGGAGCCGTTGGGGGTGGGGGTGGGGTACAAAAACCTCCGGAAAATAATCTAAATGACAGCTCACCCTAAAACAAACGAGGGGATTTTTCAAAAGACACACCATGATGTTACTCATCAATGACTCCTAAGTTGATCTATTTTCAAAACTATTTTTTCAAGCTTAGGGAATTACAGTAGGTGAAGAGAATGTTTTTTTTTTTTTTTTCAAAAATTTCATTTGAACTTCAAATTCTGCTTTTGCTGCGCTCCATGGAATATTTCTGTATAGATCCTGTAGGGGGCGGCCCGATGGTCGAGTAGTTAGCGCGTCGTCTGCCTCAAAGTGCAGAGGTGCAGGGTTTGATTCCAGCTCTGGCCTTCCTGTGTGGAGTTTGTATGTTCTCCCCCGTGCCTGCGTGGGTTTTCCCCGGGTACTCCGGTTTGCTCCCACGTTCCAAAAACATGCGCGACAGGCTGATTGAACACTCAAAATTGTCCCTAGGTGTGATTGTGAGCGTGAATGATTGTTCATCTCTGCGTGCCCTGCGCTTGGCTGGTGACCGGTTCAGGGTGTCCCCCGCCTACTGCCCGAAGACGGTTAGGATGGGCTCCAGCACGCCCGCGACATTCATGAGGATAAACCTATGGATGAATGGATGGATCCTGAAGTTTGCAGTCTTTTCTCATAAAACTTAATCAGCATTTAAGCTCAACACATTTGCATTTCATCTTGAAGAAATTATTATTTTTTAACTCATTTACATGGGTTCATGTTTTATTAAATACCTCCCACAGTGACTCAAAGATGACCGCCATCATTTCCAGTGGGGTAGAGATGTATAGAAATGTTATGCTTTGCGCTTTCCGCGTTGGCCTCTTTTGCTGATTCAACAACACGTTGGCAGTTGCGTTGATTAGCCCTCATATGATAGATGAGGCTCCGGGGGTCAGAGGGCGAGCGACCTCTAAGAGTCATTACCTCGGCTCTCTGAGTCCAGACTGTCGGACGTGATGTTGCTGCCTTGGTGGAACAGCAGGAACTGGTAGCGGTGGAAACCAGTCCCACGTGGTGGCGTTGGAGGTTGATAGTCTGCATAGCGAAGCGAAGGCTGATGAATGCCGTCTCTCACACACATACACAACGATGAATGTGATTCTAGCAATGATACAAGTCTAAGCTCAAACTGCGTGATTGTCATTGCAAATCGAGTCAGGTAAGAAATTTTTTTTTATTGATCCATTTTAAATATGGCAATGGAAGGCCGCTTACTTCTTTGGGTTAAGACGTCATTGATGAGCGAGTCGTGTAAAGTGAATGGATCCTCTCAGAGTAATTGCATAATAGAGCCTCAATAAGTGCAACACAACTCGTTGTGTGACACCGGTCAACTTTTAAGGCCTTCTAATACCAAAACATTTTCACATTGGAAATTAATTCACGAGGTGCGCTTGAAGATGTGTTGGCAAGGTTCTCTGATCCTTCCATGCGGGTCATTAGCCAGTGCGCTTTCGGTGACAAGCTGATTGCGTTACACAAAATTGCATTGAAACGAAATTGCGAAATGTTCCGCTCATACTGTTGAGGGCAGCCGAGCGCCGACCCTTCTGGGGGTCAGAGTTCAACTTTGTCATGACATGTTACCTTTTTGCCATTTTTGGTATCCTTCTTGGCTGGCACCACAAAAAGAGCAATACAAAGTTGCACCTGAGCTCGTCTCCAACACCCCCAACACCCGCCAGAACATTTTTGGTGAACTTTGAAGCGTCCACTGTCAACTGAATCACTTAACTACAAAAATAAATCAATAAAAATAACACTTACCATCAATAATGGTCCCTGTTAACACTCCATTCTTCAGCGAGGACCACTATGAAACAAAACGTGTTAGTTTGCATCGGTGCTGTTGTCAAATATTTCATTTCAATCAAAACGCGCAGGAAATTTTGATACACAAAAACTAGGGACGTCGGACCGGAAATTCCGATCACGTGATCGGACCCGGACATCCGTAGTAACAACAGAAATGGTAAAATATTAATTCATCACAGACTTGCACTCTTGGAACATTGCATGTGACAAAAACAAAACAATTATTCACATTGTGACACTGACTGGTATTGGGAACTGCTCCTACAATTTTTTTGCACCTTGACTGAGGCCACGGTTCCATCTGAAGGAAAAAAAAAAGCCCCAAAGCTACACAAGATTAAAATAAATTATACATTTGCATCACATCATAAAAACTTGGCATTTGCACAGGTGTGCGTCGACTTCATATCCATGGCAATGATCATGATAGCATTGCTCAAACAAATATAATGGTCGAGACTGTTGCACAGCGCCGCTTTTGTCATAAATTAAAACCTGAACCTAATGAATTAATTTCAGGGAAAAGAAATGCGTTTGGAGACAGCAGGTTGCATCTTCATCAGATGTCATATGTGCAGTTGCAAAAATAATTATGCACATGTCAAGTTCAACTCCCTCATCCCGGGCCAGCGCGCAGATGCTGCGCGCCATGCAAATTGCTCACAGGAACGTTTGTTTAATAGACTTGGCTGCTCGCGACGAGACGCTCGCATCCTCGAGTGGGAGGAAAAGGGCTAAATATGTTGTCTGTGAAATGGCCCGAAAAGCACTTGAGGTAAACATGGAAGTCCCCGTCAGCGGCATGGAGTATCTCGTCTCAGCAGCCTCGGCCCGAGTTTGCCCGTTTCTGCACGCGCAGGCTCCCCCCGCAGGGTGACCGAGGTACTGTGATGCAACACGTGAAAGGCCACAAAGGGCGCGCGGCGAAAGCCACGGCATGGATTTGACCCGACCTTATCAGTTCAAGAACTAAATCGGAACAGGAGACAAATAATAGTACGCCATGAGAAGAAAGAGATTTCTTTTGACAGAAAAAAAAGTGTAATATGAGAAGAGCAAAGTTGACATTTGATGTGCGTGACGATTGGCTGACGTAGGCTCTGGTTGGTTGCCTGATGACGGGCCTCAGAATACTGTGGTCAGTGTACCGATTCACATTATTTATTGATAGGCCTATCATGATCAATCTTTCCGGATCATATATACCCAGAAACCCTCAGGATAAAATTGGGACGACAGGCATTTTGCACGAGCCTATTGAGCGCTTAAAAATTGCTCGAAAAATGACACGATTGCAAAGATGATCTGACCCTCTTCATCCAGTTTAATGCATTCATGAATGACAGAAATCGTGTTTTTGTTGAACGTAACGGCGCAACGGTGAAGATTTACTCATGTGAGGGCTTTGAAATTTAATTATTGCGTGATGTGGCGCACTATTCATTGTGTCGATAATCCCGCTTTGCTGCTGTTTGGGAGGTTGCGTGCTAAATATCAAGTGTACGCTGCCATTGTTTACACGCGGCGACTACCGGCGCTTTTCTGAAGAGTCCTTTCTGCAGGGGAGAATTTTCATCATTTCACCCAGTGATCAGCCAGAACAAAAAGCTTTATTTAGAACTAGCGAGAGTCCTGCGGCCTGTCGGATGCAAGCCCGTTGCCGTGGCAACACATAGTCAACATTTGCGTGTGCAGCTTCTCGAGTCTCGATGGCTCAATCCCTGCGCCGTGATCATACTTCTCTTCGATGTATTCCCATTAAAACAACACCAGACCGGTTGCGATAAAGCCGCACTTGAGGGATTTCTCATGCTTCGGACTGTCATGACAGTTCAGTGATGGTCACAAGGGGAGTGATGCTCACACTCATCGACAGGACATTCTCACATGGTGGGTGGCCTACCTCAGGGGACCCCACTGTGGAGGCGGGATGCAGATCACACCCCAAAAAAAAAAAAAGTTCTAACTGCTCATTGATTGGAAGCGTCAGTTATTTGATTGAAAAAAAAAAAAGTTCCGGTTGTAGTAAACTATTTATTGCCTGTGTGATGCGTACACGCCATCATGAGATGTGGGTTGTGTGTTGAACTAAAAGACATCTACGGGACACAGTGGTGATGTCGGCCTTAAGATAATTATGGTCGCCTTGTGCCACCACCAGTTTGTTGGTCAATTCAGAGCTGATATGTTCATGTGCTCATAGTAGAGGTCCCCGGTTTTACTCTAGACTTGCACCCTCCTATATGGAGCGTGACTTCAATGTTTTTAAGAGCGAGGAGCTCCGGATTTTGCAATTATGACATGAGATGAGCCCAAATGTGAAGGAAGATGACGGTGCCTTGCGTATTACTGCAAAGTGAAGGAGAGATTCTGAATCAACAGAATTATCGTTTTGGAAAAAAAAATTGTTTGCGTGAGCTGTAATCAAACTGTGATATTTTCCCAGCGTACGCAGCACCTCTGACAATTTCCTCTACAGAAAGAATGCTGGATCTGCACCTTTTCTCCAGCTCTGCTCTAAGACTTCGTGAAAATCATTGAAGTGGTTTCTGTGTTGTCCAGACAAACAAGCACACGACTTCTTTGGAGGCGTTAAAAAAACTCCTCAACATGATTCACGACTTTAAAAAAAGCATATATACATGGCTTTAAAATAAGAAAAACAATGTGATGCCGCCTTGCACCCAGTCATTTGGGAATACTTAAATTACAGCGTGTGTAGGAGGGAGGAAAACGAAAAAACCAAAAAAAAAAAAAAAAACCAGGAAATAGAACCATTAAAATGATGGATCGCATATTAAAACAATAAATTACATCAACATTATACTTTTCAAGTTAAAGGTTTAAACCAACAATGAGGTGCATTTCTTATGCAATTCCCAAAGGCAGGGGAGCTTAATGGCAGAGTCCAAATTTTTTTATACACTGCCACAATGGGTTCGAAATAATCTGACAACTCGGGACGCATAATAATTATCGGTCCAATCCTGGTAAAAATGACGTCATTTTTAAATCGTTCCGATACCGCAAAATTAGGCCGGCATTGAAAACCGCATTCAAATACACCACTCAATGCAAGATTTATGAGAAATAAATGTGTGGTCCGATACATAAATCCCATATAGCCTTCAATCGGAGGAAGTCGCTTTTGACTAACTGTTGCAAAGAGCAGCCGAAGGCAGACCACGGAAATATGTTTGATCAGATACAGGTGTGACAACTAACTACTCTCGGGTAAGATGAGCAATGGTTGGAGAAAAGTATGTCCAGGACTTCCGGCAAGACTCCTGGAGCAAAAGTTAATAGACGGGAGCAGTCCGCGGGGAGGCGGTGGGTCGGTGCACGGGTGCGGTTTCAACAGGAATACCCGCTAGCCCAACATCCCTTTTTCTTTTTTTTTTTTCCTTCTCGTGTGTGGGTGAGTACTTCCCTTTGTCGGCACGAGTTACTCATGCACCTCCTCACGCATCCACCTCTTGCCTCTCCCTCCTATGCACACCCCGCAAGCCCACACCTACGATAATCAGCACCCACGTCCGTCCAAAGCGCGGCTCGGAGCGCATCGTTCTCCCTTTTGCCTGCAGTCAGGCTAACAGACGGGGAGAGAGAGCATGACAGATGGTGTTCACAGCTCTATTTCTGAGGCTGGACTTGTAGCCTGCCTCCCGCCAATTCCACTGAAGCCAAGTGCTCGCGATTGTGCCTCCTTCGTCGTCGCCTCGGCGCTCATTCATTTGCGGGCTGGTTGTGAATTCAAGCTGACGAGAAAACTCACCGTTTACATACACGTTGCGCCGAGTTGCCCGTGTTTCATGGCGTGCAAACTTCTGTTCATACCGAAGACGGACGGACCCGTTCGGTTTGGAATCTAGATTCATAATCTGCCACTTGATTGAGGTCGACTGGAGCAAGCCGTGTGATGGGAGCGCCAGTAGCACTGTGGCTGAAACAGGATTGGTTTTAGGCTAATTTAACAATCAATTCCCATCAGCTACCGCAACCAAACAAAGAATCTTTGTTAAGTGGCGTCGAATGTCCGTGCCTGCGAGTGTTTGGACAATGAATGTGCATGGGAACCCGAACGGCTGCTCTGACTTGGCACCAGGACGTAGAAACATAGTTGAATAGTTGTAACAATGCAGCATCTACTTATGACAACATCTATCCATCCATCCATTTTCTGACCCGCTTAAGAGAACCCAATCCATACACACACGCACACTTGTCTGATGAACTTGTTGGCATTTTTCTCCCTCCGAATTAATGTGAAAAGAATCCAAACAAAATTGTCAACTCAAAAGCTGCGCTGATCTCAACTCGAGTGATGCGATGCTGCCATCGGCAAGGATCCTTTCGTCAGTACAGTGGTTCACAAACCGGGATTTTACAAACAAGGTGAGGCGAGACCCTCTACCTGTTGAAAAACGGACTTGATGAATATTTAAAATTAGTGGCAGTGAACTGGAGGATTCCAATTGACGCATAAAAAATACATTTAACACTCTTTTTCATCATATACAAGAAAAACAGAGACAACCTTTAATAAGGATCATCAAATGTTGGGACTCCTGTAAAATCTCTTCTGGTTCACCGTGAAGGGGGTGTGGGGGGGGGGCAGCTAATTGCATTTCATGTTGTAGCGCAGCCTAATGGTGATCAGCTAAGCAGGGTGAATTGGCCCCAGTCAAGGGTGAAAACCAGTGGGTGAGTCACTCCGGATCTGCATCAATGCATCAACAAATTAACCCATTTAACAATTGCCAGTTGGACTAATGGCTTGAATGAAGGAACTCATTTGGCGTCGGTAATGAACTGACTTTGAAACGTAAACAGTCCAGTTATTAAGTGGACTCCAGTCTTCATCGACATCACCCGACACACCGATGTGCCGGGTCAGTGTCGTCGTTGGCTCCAGCTCATTAGTGGCGAAGCTCATTATTACTCAAATCACTAGTTAAAGAAACTCGCCACCAAAGCCCATTATCAGCCTCATCTATT